TTTTTTTTTTTTTTTTTTTTTTTTTTTTTTTTTTTTTCCTATCATACACACAGACGCGTTACGTGGCTATCGGAAGATTTAATGGATCGATGTTGAGCCCCGCGAGAAAAGAGACTTACCGATAGCTTTCGCCTTCGTAGAATCTAGACGATGGGCCATAGGATGGAAAGAGCTATGAGAAAGAGAGAGGAGAGAAAGAGAGTGAAGTAAAGCAGGAATTATTTTTAGGTTCAACCAGACCAAATTTAGTACCCACTCTGTGTCTAGCGTATCGTATGGCTAGAATGACTCGCTGCCACGACTAGCGCGTGGCACGACAGGTCACCATTTCGACGCCGGAGATGCATTTCGAGCATCGAAACATTTCACCGTGAGCAATTTTTTCCAGCTAATTTTATGATAGTATGTCCGCCTAGCGTATTTATGCGTAATTCCGGTACCTGATTTCATTTCTAACGAAACTGTTAGTTTCTACGATAATCTTGTGAATCCCTGGAAATACTCACAGGTCGATCAATTTGAATACCAGATGTCCCAAAGAAGTATTCTCTTCCGTACGCGACGATCGCTGTATGCCATATTGCCTCTATGTGTTGACCTACGCACGGATAACAATGTTTTTCGTCAATGTTAACTTATTCATAGAAATTTAGCTTAGCGTATCTCGTTTGATAAACAAATGAATTTCGTTTGGCAATATGTACGCCTTTGGGAGAGAGATTAAAGCATATTAGAAATCTTGCACCGCAGAAGTTTCGAATGATGGCCTAGTTGTACTAATATTAACCCTTTCGGTACGGAGGAGCTGACCGAGGTTATACATTCGTGGTACGAGGAAGTTTTCCACAAGAGTGGTTGCATTGTACGGCAGCGTAAGCCGCGAAAACGTGTTTTGCGGTATTCATAGAAATCGCGAGCGTGATTGCGACTAAACTTTTCATTCGGACCGCGACAGTTGTCGGTGACGTTTCGTGGATGCCGCCAATAGATGACGTTAGTACCCAGAGAACGTTTCGTAGATGCCGCCAATAGGCGACGGTAGTACTCAGAGAACTTTTCATGGCCGCCGCTAATTGGCGGCACAAGTACCGAAAGGGTTAAATCCGAATTAATGCTGTAATACTTTGCTTCGATAATTTTAGTACTACACAGTTCCTTAGGTTAATGTAGTTTTCTGAAATTACTCGTTTCTTTTCTGAGAATTCAAATGAGGCTTTCAAATGTACAATGATTTTTAAGATTCATAATCGATAATATAAGTTTCTTCAAATAAAAGTAAATAAGGCAAGTTTATATTAAATTTTGCTTAATCTTGTTATGTATTATACAACAAACTATATTATATATCGTATTATAAAACAGAATAATCGAGTTATAAAGATGAAACAATCGATTAATCTATTCGATATAAACTTTATTTAAAATTAAGAATAAACTATGATTCAGAACTAAATTAGATTGTATAAAACCATATGTATATTGTCCATACGTGGCTTATTAGTAAAAGTATTAAAGTACAATATTTCTAAAATGACTCAAGATATAAACTTTCAGACTTTTGCGTTTTATTCGGTATTACATTTATCTGATCCGAGGCAACTTTTCAAAACTACCCGGAATAAGAAAATAATGGACATGTTTAAAATTTCTGATTGGCGTACATAAATTGACATTTAATTAAAGTACTATCTATTAACACAGAGTTTCAAAAGACGTGATATCTTTCATCTTATTTCATATACATATGAAATATAATGCTTCATATAAAGAATATATTATTTTAAAAAACTTGATAAACGAAAGAATACTTATAGCAAAATTGAAACTATATCGTTCTAAAGATCATTTTCATCTTCGTCCAACATTTTCTGCGACTTTTAATCTTCCAGCCCAGGAATTTTGAAACAATTGCCTCGAAATAAATAAAAAGGCCCTTTCGTGTTGATATAAATCGCAAAGCTTGCAAGTTTTTGTCCTTTATGATTTCAATGATATTAACCTGTAACATAATTTACATATAATAATGCAATAATATAATATACGTATAATTAAAGAATACATATAATCGTATGATTGGAAGATGCACATGTTTTGGCATCGAAATGGTTGAGTGAATTTGTAGATCGTGGTAAATAATATTGTTCAAGGACTAGCATACTTCTCGAGCAAAATTATAATATCACGCAAGTTGCTTGTCGTGTAAATTCGTTTCGTAAAGGTACAATTTCAGCTTGCATGGACGAGGTTTGGGCTTGTAATCGTCGGCTCGAGTCTCCTTCGACCCAGTTTCTCATCGCGGGAATAGCTAAGCACATCCGCGATTATCTTATTGCAACGCGTTTCTGGGAGGGTCGTCGTGGTGAAATAACCGCGAGAAATAGCTACTACAGCCATCCGGCACGACAATTCACCACTTTCAGAGGTTATGCAACATTTCATGAATACTAACTGATTTTCGCCGATTTTTCGTTAATCCAAGAATATTTCGAATATTAAATATAATATATACTTGAATGGCATATATTTACAGTAAACTCCTATATAACACAAGTTCTTACAACACGAATCCCTATAACGAACTGAAGAAACTGCGACTACTGTCTTCGGATAACGCTATTCTTCCTACAACGTGTTATATATCGAACAAGACTGCAAAATTATTTGTCAGGCTTCGTTTAATTAATTATAACAAATTTGCTAAATGAATTGTTAAATTATTTCTTTCCTCGAATTTACGAATTTTTCTTTGAATTTATATGAAATAAAAGAGTTTCGTTTACATACATCGGTAATGTATATTGTTTTAAAATTATTTTAAATGATGCAATGTATAAAACAAAAATTGACACGATAATAGTCATTCCTAAGATTATTTTATAATATTCGTGTTATATGAAGAAAATTTTCGTATAACACGATTTCCTATAACTTCCTATAACATATTAACATCGTTGTGTACTTGAAGTTATCACGTAATTCCAAATTATTATTAGGTAACTTTGCTTTGTATCTTCTTTGACCCTTTTTATGTAGAAAGTAATGAAGCTTCCAGTTATGATTTGATAACTTGCAGAACTACTGCAGTATGTAACAGAAATGTTGATTATTTACTTGTAATCTAATCGTTCACTAGTTCCGATAAATATTGAACGAATTAAAATGGCCGAAAATATCGAAAAATAAACGGAACGATGAAGATGTTATAATCCATAAATACAGTTAATACAGTTTACATATCGGTTGAACAACAAAAGGAAAAATAAACATTCGTTTTAGCGCGTACTTTCCTACTCGATTCAACGAATGTTATTATATCTCTCTTTATTATTCTTCCGCATTTTCTGGCCTCTCTTTCAACGCTTCGATGTTACATCCACGATGTATAAAATTAAACATTTCGCATTTGCAATTTGCGTCTCTCCGTTTCATTTCAGTGATTCGTTTTTGTACAAGCATAGCCCATCTAAACAGAAGTGCGAGTCGCATATTTATTTATTTGTAAAGAGAATTGCGTGCAGTACGAAATACCAAGCTCGCGAACAATTACAAGTACTGCCGTCTGAAAATAGATCTGCAAGCTCCACGACTGAACGTGAGTGGCGAACGAACCTTGGATACATGACGTAAACGCCTAACGGAGACACGTGTGCGTGTGTGTGTCATATTTTACAACTTTTCCATGGAATTTCGTCCGAATCGAATCCTTTCTCTTTTTCTCCTCGTTACTTCCGCATTGTAGCGCGTCACAATACGCGTTTGAATTTGCCGCGTATACATGGTCTCCTAGACTTTCTATTTTATCTTACTTTCTATGGATAACTACAGTCTAACCGGGTACTTCCTGTTGAATTTTAACTTGTTTTACAGTAGATTAAGAAGATTGTTGACTAATGACACGAACTTAATTTTCGTTATTCCAATACATAACCGTCGTTTTTATCTAAAAATAATGTATAAGTCGTAAAATAATGAAAGTAGTGTCTCCATATAGCTTGAAGATACTTAGTATCCCAAATTTAGAATAAATTAAGAACATACGGAATAACAGACCTACGGATCCCAATGACGAATACGTCTGTGCCAAGTTACCTTTGCCCTACGATTCGTTTCATTTCTATGATTGTTCGTATTTAAATCTCTTCAATTCCTAGAATTACAACTCTGATACGTGACTAATGCAAATGTGACAAGCGGCGACAAAATAGGCGATTGCAAAATACTGTTTAGTTATATGGTTATTTATTTAATAACAACGAAGTTCTTCAATTTACTTACAGTTACTATCGATAATGCAAGTGATCTTTATCAAAACTTCCAATGTCAGTTGAAATTTTAGAAATAAAAGTTACATCGTTTACCTAGCAATGAAGCCCTGCGTTAATATGTAGATACCATAAGTTGAAGCTATCAAAGAATGCGAAACATATTATTTCAAGGTTTACTACTAATAATATTAAACAAAAATGCTAACTCGATTAATACTTACAGTAATAAAATTTTGTAATCATTATACTAATAAAATGCTCGTAAGTTTTTGATTTTCTAAGATTAATAGACAAGACAAATAATATATTAAAGACATAGAACGTTTAATGATTAGTTAATTATTAGTTCTTCTAATCAACATTTTCATTCAAACATTATTCACTGATGATTCTTTGAAGTTTAATTATTCGTCATCAAGTATTATTACACCATTCAGAATGAATCGAACATATTTTTAAGAGTTAAAGAAAAAGATTTTGTATATATCACTTCTGTTATTCACGATTTAAAAATATCTAGTTGTTGCTGTTTATTTCGTATGTACGTACTAGAAAAAAGTTCAGTAACGTATCCTTAAATAACGTACAACGAGGTTTAAGTCAAACGAACGGATCCAGTAATTCACATTTTTCTCGGTAATTAATAATCGATTATCACATTTCAACGGTACAATATCAAAACAACATGCATCACACATCTAATAAATATTTTAATTTACCGATAACAAGCGTAGACATCACAGGGAGGATACCCTTTGTAAGGTCATAAATATATAATTTCACGGTCGTCTTCGTATCTTCCGCGTTTTCCATCTGTAACTATAACAAAAAGAACAAGGATAGATATTTGAGATAAATGAAATTTCGTAAGAAAGTAATAAAAAATAAAAATTAATTGTTAACCAATAATTATTTTGTAAATTAATCGTTTAGTACATATTTCGTGATCGATCGTGATATGTCACACTCGAAAAGAAAATTCATCGTCGTAACCGAGACTCATAAATCGCTAAATTTTGAATATTACTTAAATCTATTTTGCGTACGATGGAAAATCTCCCAATGTTCTTCCGTATGTCAGCTCTGATGAATGTAACGAGTAGAAGACATAAATACACTGGTTGCCCGGCACAACTGAACTCATTCGCTTTGATAGACGTTAAAATTTGTTTTGCGGCTGACACTTTTCTCAACGCGTATCAGATGGAGCACAGAGTGTGCGAAAGATCAATTCACATCTACACTACCGGCTAAAAATATGAGACCACCTGACTTTATTATTGTTATTTTTCACGTCTGATTGATATAACAGTACTAAATTTATGACAATTAGTCTATGTCCATATGAAATGTAATATTAGAAGCCCATTGGCATGATACTACCAATTAACACAGATAACATCTTAATATGTGAGAAATACTTGTACAAATATATTCAAATATATTTATATTTTTAAATTTATTTTATAACATTTTGATGCAATTCGAACATTGCAATAAGATATCGAAATAATTTAACTATATAAATTTATATTTTATAAAGATTCAAATAGTACCTATTTAAATAGATATAGTGCTGAACACATATACGCATAAATATATATATTTCATAATCTAAAACAAAGATGAATAATAAAATGATGAAAGTTAAAAAATTTTAATCAGTTAATTTTTATACTTAATAATCACACATAATGTATTCATACCATCCTTGAAAATGACTCAGCAATCCAACTCTGACTATTGTAAGATGACTACGCTTAAACTTGATTACGCGTTTCTACAAACGCGGTATTCTTTCAAGATGTTTTTAAATGTATAATAAATACAAAATACTATCAGATTTGGTATCAATAAAATTATGCTTACATTATTTAAAATTATTTTAAGAGAAGAAATACAAAACTAAAAATGTGCACTGAATCAAAAATAAGCTGCAATTGGATAAAATTTAATTGATGTGTAAAAATAACTAATAAGTAACAATATCAGCAGAAGAAATAAAAGGTGACTAAAAAATGTTGTACCTACCTTTTGTTTTCAATCAATGCAATATAAGATAGAATAACGTGAGGTTAGGACGTCAAAATAATCAGATAATAACCAATTTTTGATGATGATATAGCACGAATGAGATGTACACCTCTTGCTTGATGGCTACTGGCCTAGCAAATGCAACTGATCGCGCTGAAATCTTCACCGGAGTCAGAGACTAGTGTGGAAACACGGCGCGGTAGTCGTTGTTGCCAGGAAGAAACGGCAACGAGGTAAGAGGCTCAATGCACGAAGGCAGTTCCTACCTACCGGCATCACGGCCAATAATATTACACATTAATGCAAGAAAAGTTGTGCTTGAAATTCTTCGTTTGACTGCAAAAATTTTCTTTTTTTTTTCAAATACCACACTTCATCTTTTAACAAGTGATTTTCATTAATGGTCTTTCCATACCTGATAAAGGAAGCTACAAGAGTACTTTTTCAACGGAGATCAATGTTAACTTAAAAAATTTATTTGATTATACTTTCACACAATGTAACTGATTATTATATATTTTATATACCTAAACATGTTTAAATTCAAATATATAGTATTGTTCACTCTTGAACAAGAGGACATTATTTTGGTTACTATAACCTAACATTTTATATTTTATATAATTATATTTTCTGTAATACTATGAATTATATAAAGATTTATTTATGTAAAATTATCTTTTATTATTGATTAGTTAAATAATAGATTTTATCTTTTAATTATTGAAATACATTTTATTTTGTCACATAACCTATATTGTAAAATATTATTTATATGATAACATTATCAAACATTGATTGAACATTTCTTATTATAAGTAGTATTATGTGTTAGTAGTAAGTATTACAAATAAAGTTTTCACAGAATGCTGAACATATTACTATATCTAAATTTAACAAAAATAATATTTTATAGTATGTAATATCAATATACAATATAAATATATAAATATATAAGAGTAATGTTATACATATCTATATTTAAATAAATTTTTCAAAACTTTATTAAAATCAATTCTTGACTTGTACAAATTACTTTTATGAAATAATCATTTAGATTTATTATACTTTTTTAGTATTTGCAGTTTAATAAACATTATCTAACTCTTTAGTTAATATTATTTTATTCAATATACTCTAATGTATTATGTTTTATTTATAAAATCTGCATTTTCTGCTATTTTTTTATTTAGTCAATGATTTTCATTAATTTTTGACTTTATAATAAATCAAAAAAGATTATAAATTCAATTATAAATTCAAAATTTCATGTCATTTAACTTTTTCTCAACATTTATTGTTATTAATGCCTATATATTGTTATACATAACAAATTTTTATTCAGATTATCCTGATACTATTGCAGAAACTCAACTTCATGAAATGAACTTATTATCTTAATAAATTATTTAAATATATTATAATGTCAACATTGTTTGAAATATATTTATCAAAATATATTTATCATTAATAGCTAAAGATTTCTTAATTATTAAATATTAATAATAAAAATATCCATTATTCCACCAATCCACTAATAAATAATCAGTTTCAAATATATTTACTATATTTTTAAGTGTAAGTTGTTGATTAATGTTATAATTAAAAGAATCATTTACTTATTACAATTTTTATTATAATGTATAAATTTAGTTATATATATTTACTTTAATTTCATTTAGACATTTCTAGATTTTTTAGATTTTCTACATGAACATTATAGCTAAAGTCTTTATTTTATATAAATTTCAGTACTTAAGTATTTAAGTATTTATAAAATTAACTTGATTATTCATTATACTTAAAATTAATTTAAATATCTTTAGTATTAAATCACTGTTCATATAAAATTAAAGGTGAGAACCATACAATTGATGTTAATAATTATTATTTTGGAATAAAATATTCATATTATCTTCAGAAGTGTGAATTTACTTTTATTATAATAAAAATAAATCACTGTTTGAGAGGTGCTTATTTTAAACAAAAAGAAATAGAATAAATACTGATTTGTTTAAAAAATCACAATTGATTTATCATCATCCATTTCATTAATTATCAAATTTACATAGGTTTTTATAAATGATACATATTTCTTTGATATAATATATATTAAATATTAATATTTTCTTTTAAATAGAATTAAAACTAAAAATGTCAGTAAATAAATTTTCATTATTACAGAATTAAAAGAAATCTATTCAAGATCTTAAATGTATATATATATAAGTACATAAATTACTTTATTATAATCATTAATGTTAAAAAACACAGTTCATAATATAAAATATATATTTCTCGGTAAATATATATGTAAATAAATTTTTCATTAGTTAAATTAGTACACTGAACTTTGTAATTCGATAACCATGTCACTTTTTTATTTTTTATTTTACAACTTGTATAATGATTAATTCGTGATTTTTTTATGTCTGTGTAAAAATTATTTCAATATTTATCGAAGATGAAATAATAATATCTATTGTATTTATATTCGAAGACGATCACCTGGTAATTGGCAACCACCGCCACTGTGGCCATGACCGGATACCAATTTATGATCAGTTCAACAACCTGTGTCGTTATTCTACGATTCCCATCTTATAGTTAAGACATTTAAAATGAAATAGCATGAATAAAAAATAAAAATGTATTGCGCAATGTCACTTGTATTGTGTGTTGTTCTTTGACATTCAAAAGAAATCCGCGTAAGTGAAAGTGTTGAAAAATAAATGCAAGAGAGCCAATATTATAACACAAAACAGTTCGAATATCAAGAAGACATTACTCAGCAACTACGGGGTGACTCAAAAAGCACAGAAGACGCGCTCGTTTTTTTCACGTTACAAAGCTGGAACTATACAAAAAGAGAGAAAAAATAAACAAGAAAAATAAAATAAGATTAAAACATTTGGCTACCAAATTTATCTTTATACGAATTAAAAGTTAATAACTAACACTGTCGCGTTCATTCGTGTGGGAAAAATAGGGTGCATACATATAACATCGAAAGACGTGTTACAACTTTATTTTTTTAAGTACAAACTTACCTAATTTGTATTTGAAGTCACGTGCTTGTTAATCTATTGTCTGCTTATGTCAAAAGAATAGTGTGCAGTCGTTGAAGTTGTACTGAAATTTGCTGGTGAGCAACGTCGATGTGTAAATTTCTTTGTCAATGTTAAACCAGAAGCTTCACACTTTTTTTTCAGTTGTATATTAAAGAATTTTAAATAATAACTTAACTGCATTGATAATAAAAATGACTGAAAAACACCATACTTTACAATATTTATTGTTATTTATAAAATTATGCAAAGAGGTTAGGATACTAGATGTTGACTCAACAATTTCTTACACTTACTAGGGATTTTAACAGTACTGTGTTACGAGCAAGCAAGTTAAACAGGGATTGAACAGCTGATGCCTCGTCGTGACCGGCGAAATGTCAAAGTCTAGGCAAATTGTAAGTTACCTATTGTTAAATGATTTATCTTGATTAATTAATCTGTATAGACTGCTTAATCAAAACTAAACAATATTTTATTAAAAAAATAAGTCATTCTTTTCATAAATTGAGAAAATTTTGCAATTCACGCAGTAACATGTAACTTACTAAAAGTTCCCAGATATGAGTCCAACTGGATCTTATTCCTCTATTTTTCTTTTATGATTTTTCAAAATCTGTAATGTTAATATGTTAAACAATATAGATATAGTATCAAATATGCATTGATTAATTTAATAAATGATTTTATAATAAATAATGAACTAATGTTTCTGTTTTGATAATTTAGGTTTTTGTATTACTTTTTATAATTATAAATAAATTACAAATTAATTGAACTATATTTATATAATATTTCCTATCAACAATATTTTTCTTACACTTTTTTTTGTATAGTATTATCATATATTTCTATTCCAAATAAAACTTTTATATATTTTAATTTTTATAAAAAGTCATTCATAATTTCTATCAAAAATCTATTGCATTAATGTAAATTAAATTGCATTATTCTTCATATGTATATAAAAAATATTAAACTTCTGTACATAAAAACTTTATTTTCATAATATATATTTAATAGATGAATGTTGTTGGAAAAAATATTTAAACTTTTATTCAGTTATTGATATTCAATTAATCTTTAATGTTTTAAATGTATATGTTTATAGATCTTCATCTATAAATATTTGTTTGTTTACAGACTTTACGTGTGCAATCTTCAGAGGGGACAAAGCGTATAGATGTGAATTTTTCTGATACGATTTCTCAATTGTATGAAAAGGTTTGTTCTTTTACAATTATAAAATTACAAATTATAATTATATGAGCATTTCCTAATTTTAAGAAATTTTAGGTTTCTAAAGCCTTTGAACTGAATACTATTGAATTTGGACTCTATAGGGAACGAAATCATAAAAATGAACTTCCGTTTTCTCATAGCAAAACAGTTTCAGGAATACATCTTTCTCATGGAGATATGTTATATTTGTCTCTTCAGAGTGGTACACAATTATGGAGCACTCCCTCAACTAGTAGTGCTGCTATTGATATTTCTCAAGGTTTTATCTATATTTGTTGATTTAATTTTTCTTATTATTTTAATGTAATGTTATATTGATTTTATTTAATGTTAGAACCAAAATCAATGGATGAGACAGAAACTATCAACCATACTATTAATTCTTCTCGATCCGTACCAAATACATTTGAAGATGTTGATGAACAATTATGGAAATTTGATGGTAAAATACAAAGAAAACGTGATGAAAAACTGTAAGTAAATATAAGTATAGTTGAATTTTTCATATAAAACTAGATTATACATATTATATTTTTTTTAACAGATGCAGACATGGTGCAAACGGATGCTGTGTTCATTGTACTCCTTTAGAACCTTTTGATGAAGTTTATCTTAAGGAACAAAATATAAAACATTTATCTTTTCATTCATATCTCAGGAAACTTACTGCTGGTGTTGATAGGTACGTTTAATTTTATACTGTATTATATGTCTTGTATACAATTTTTATATATTTTATAGAGGGAAGTTTATACAATTAGATGACATAAACTGCCTTATAAAGACTGGTTGTAAAGATCATCCACCTTGGCCACGAGGTATATGTAGCAAATGCCAACCAAGTTCCATTACTCTAAATCGCCAAACTTATCGTCATGTGGACAATGTCATGTTTGAAAATCCAAGTTTAGTCGAACGCTTCCTTAATTATTGGCGTAGCACCGGTCATCAACGTGTTGGATTTTTATATGGAAGATACGAAATACATACAGATGTACCATTAGGAATTAGAGCTGTTGTTGCAGCTATTTATGAGCCACCCCAGGTAATTTAATAAAATAAATTTACGTTGTTATTTAGTCTATAATGTTGTCATATTCATTTTAGGAAAGTACAAAGAATTCCATACGACTTTTACCAGATGAAAGAGAAGGGATAGTCAATGAACTGGCTCATTTACTTAACTTAAAAAGAGTTGGATGGATTTTTACTGATCTTATAGCTGATGATATCAAGAAAGGAACGGTAAATTTATTTATAATCAATTTGTATTTTTATTTCTTATAAGTTAAAGTCCTTAGTTAATAGCATTAGTTTAATTTATTCAGGTAAAACACGTTCGAAATATAGAAAGTCACTTTTTATCTGCTCAAGAGTGTATTATGGCTGGGTATTTTCAGAACAAATATCCAAATCCCTGTCGTTTCTCTCCTAATAATTATTTTGGTTCAAAGTTCGTTACTGTTTGTGTCACCGGTAAGTTACTTACTCCGCATTATACTCACACTGTTTTTTCTTAATGTAACGTATACACATACAAAAATAGGATTTGTATTTATTAAATTGTACATATTGGTTATAGGTGATGAGAAAAATCAAATTCATATGGAAGGTTATCAAGTATCTAATCAGTGCATGGCATTGGTACGGGATGGCTGCTTGGTTCCAACAAAAGATGCTCCAGAATTGGGCTATGTAATTGAATCAACAGATAAACAGTATGTTCCCGATGTCTTCTACAAGGTAAGTACATTCATTTTATTTGAATACTTTCGGTTAACTTTTTGCTTCAAATTAAGGTAGCAATGTAGTTTTGAAATTGATTATGAATGTGCATATTATGATAAAAATATGACAATATTGAATTATATCTTATATACTAATAGTGTTAAGGAAGGTAAAGGTATGCATAAAGTATACACCAATGAAAGAGAAACAGTTTATAACTCAAAATCGATTGATTAAAAGTACATTTAAATTGGGCAACGAACTTCATTTCGTACATGTATAATGAAATAATAAAACTGTTTAAGCAAGTGCACTACGGATATGCGCTTCCGTAGGCCGTAAACAAAATGACCTCAATTTTCATATGTAATGATGTTTACGCCTTAACTTAAAGTGGTGAATGAGGAATAGAAAAAGAAAAAGAGACGGGAGGGAGAAAGAAAAAAATAAAAGATGGAAAGAAAAAACGAGGGAAAAAACTTATCGAAAATTATAGCCGCTCAACCGTTTAATTCGAACGCGAGGGGCAAGGTAAATCGTCGGTTGTTAGAATCGATATTACAAGCTATGCGTTGTTACCTCATCACGTTCATAAAAATATATGTAGTGTATATATATATATATATATATAATATATATATACACATATGTACGTGTAATGTATATATGTATATATATATGT